AATAAAGTGATCTTATCTTATGAGTTCATAGCCAAGGTGAGAACCAGCAGGAGAACACCACTGACTGCCCACCACTGTGCCGCCAGGTAATGATACTATAAAGCACAAGTGGTAGAAAAGTGACTGCGGAGGCATCTCCTCTAATGCAAGTCACCTGCTTATGTTGAAATTATTCAGGGTAGTTTACCAACTGGAAAAACAAAACAGGGAGGCAGGGGAAAGATTTTCTCTGCTGTGTTTGTGTCTCATCATTTTTGTGGTTGGTGTTGTGCCAGAAGCTCACTGCATTACTCCTGCAGCTGGGAGCTGCAGGGTGACGGAGCTGCTGGCTCCTGTGCGTCTCCTTCAGTGTTCTCCGGAAGAGGCCGTTTTCGTCAAATCAAACTCATCTCAAACCTTCACTGGACTGCGCTGCGACTCCTCGCATCCCTACAGTTTGCAGCCCAAGGCAGGGCTGAGGAAAGCCTGCTGTAGTGCTTCAGGGGACAGACAGGGGGCGCCGCCGCCGCAGGTCTCACCTTCCTCCCGCATGCGGACGTACTTGCGCACGGCGATGTGCTTGCGCCAGGCCTTCTGGATGACCCGGGCGTAGCCATTGTACTTCCTCTCCCTCATCTCCTCCAGCAGGAACAGCTGAGGAGAGACCGTGGCATCACTGCATGGCTGCCCATGGGCCTCCAGGGCAGAGATCTGAGGCTTATTTAATCTAAATAACAGTGTTCTCTTCCCGAGCTTTCAATGCTAGTGTAGCAGGAGATGTGTGCTTTAATTCTCCGGCCCCTCTCTTAATTGTGCCATTGCAGAAGAACACCATTGCTTTCTTAAGAAACTACAAAAGCAAAACTTTGAAGAGAAGCATTTCTTCCACTCGGAGAGAGTGCTTGATCTTCCCCTGTGCTTCAGTTAAGAGCTCGACAGAACTTAAGGACACAATGAACCCAGTGGATCTCACCCTGGGGGTGCAAGATGCCCTTTCTGGGGGGGGTGTGAGACGGGCCAAATCTTTTCAGAAAGGTCAGTCAATCACTTAAAAGACAAATTAAGCACAGGACCGCAAGTACAACTACTTTGTTCATCAAAACTCGGCATTTTAAGATGAGCTTAAAAAGTGTGCAATTTTTTATGAATTCTTCATCGAACTGCAAAAATAAAATTCACTGGATAATTCTCTCTCTTTCACCCTACAGTAATGCTACATCTTAGGGTTAAGGAACTGACCTACTTCGACCACTTCTGATCAGGGGTGTGAGAACCCGTTTTGAGAGCCAAAGGGGTTCAGGCCACAGTCCGGCTCGAGAAACTGCCGGATTAACTGTTTCTTCCCGGGTCTGTCCGATTTCCCTGCCCAGTGCCGTCACAGGGTGACGGGAGTGAACAGCGGAGTGTGGGTGGGGGTTCGTCGGGCTGAGAGCACTGCTGCCCTGGTCTCCTCTGGTCTCTCGCGCCCGAGACTTATTTTTAATGGGCTCCCACTGTTACGGCCCTGTGCGTCAAACACACAGGCGTTTCCTGTGTTCAATCTCCAGAACCCGGCGGACCCCGCTCACCGACTCGGGCGCCTTGATGAACACCTTGCTCTTGCCCAGCTGGTACTGGTCCTGGTCCATGTTGACGGAGCGCAGCAGGTGCAGGACCCCCTGGCGCTGCTCCCCGCGCCACTGCGGCCACGTCTCCCGCGTCAGGATGGCGTACCTG